TTATTTCAAACTCATTGTGTTCCGTCGTCACTGAAGCAACACACTCATCGGGTTTCCACTCATTCATCACAAGCATTCACCTTCCACTTTTAGTGTCACACGAGTACGGAAGTCATGAACAAAGTGGGAATGCAAAACAGGAAAAGCTCACTCCACTTTCTCTCTCTAACCTTACCTGTTCCCGGTGGGGTCTTGCACATAATGTGCGTTCCTCAGATCTCTTTGACATGAAAACCGCAACACTTGTTGAGCTGTGGAGCAGTCACAAGGCGGCCTAGGTATTGGTTTATGCTGGTCGCTTTGCCTGTCGGGTGTCTAAATCAAAGGATCGGCCGCCGCATATGTCAGCAACTGCCGCACCTCTCGAATCTGTGGCGGAAATGGCTGCTCTTGTTCGCTGAGCTTTTAACCGTTCTCTTTCTTCACTACTCAGGTTAGCCTGCTACCATAGCAACATGATTTTTGAGTAACTGGGTTACCTATCTGACAAAAACCCACATGAAAATCCCATAAGCTGAAATGCATATGATCTAGAAGTTGTTGATAGGTCACCTTAACGAAGTTGTCTCGTCAAGTGCTCCCGCCGCGCAGAATCTTACTTTTCTCGTTGATCGCGAGAAGCTGTTTCGTTTCCACAACGAAGTGCCCACCCCTCTGTATTTCGCACGTTCTGTGCCGGGCACAAAAAAGACACTGACTGAGCTATCCGTAACCCTTTCGTTGTCGCCAAGGTGAATTTTCTTTTTTACACAAACAAATTTACCAGAGCAAATAACGCTTAAGAATTTTGAAAGGCAGCGTGATGGAAAAATCCCTATTTATCCTTCATTTTTTACCTCTTGGCGACGGTGATCGAGTCCTTTGGGGTACCAACAAATTGGTTCAAATATTGCGCGTTTTACTCCTCGATCAGCTTTTGATTTAACCTTTTTTCACTCTCCCAGAGGGATCGATAGTGTAACTGTGCTTTTTCCCCTTGGAAACAAGCATTCTAGATTAACAAGAACGCTGTGATTGGAGTACAGATTTACATTCCGAACTCCGCCAGTTCATATAGGCAAAAGTTGAACGAAGATCTCATTTAAAAGTCATTGATGTATGGTTATTGTTTGACAGTGAAACTACATTTGAAGCTTCCGTGAGTACATCAATCATCATCCGATGTAAACCCCTTAAATTCATTGCGTGATCTGAATAAAATACGGACATCTTGATTAGACTGCAGTTGCAATGACCAGAAGCTGCCACGATGCTTGACAATGTCCTGAAATGTTCCCCGGGGCGAATTTATTGGCAGAAGCTTTTACACGAAAATAAATGTTCTTTGATTAGAGACTCATGCAATTTGGTGATAAATACAACTTGGCGTGTACGCAATCGGCACTAGAACGAGAAATGCTTCTCTCCCGCTCAATCTCTCCCCCTTGGCTGATTGCGTTCAGTTTCACCGATTGATCGGATATTCATTGTTTAAATTTCAAAAAACCGATCTTGTCAGTCACCTTATCTTGATGATCATATGACTTTCATACTAGTTCCAAGGCACGAGTTTCGGGGGCTGGGGGAGGGGAGAGAAGAGAATGAATGATGATGATAGATGCCTGCAAAATATTTCATTCCTTATATTTGCAAACCCTGCAATGCCTCTTTTGTGTTCCACCCGTAAAAACCCGATATGGTCGTTGTATCTAGTAGAAAAGGACGTGAAGAAACTTTTGCGCATCTCCAACGTGCCTATGGAACAATAACAAAAGGGGAACCTTGAGTTTGGGATTAAAATACTTTTTCCCTTACAGCTAATAACGAAGTAGTGAATTTTTCAGTCAGATGATACAGCATACCATTCCGGAGTATTGTGTTTTCATTTGCTTATTCAACTGTTGGTCGCTGGTAAACTTGAAGGATGTATAGGCTTCCGTGGTTTATTGGGTGAGGAGACGTTCGTTTGTCCCCCACATGTGAAAAGGACTTGTTGTTGGAGCGCAGTTGCAGTCTAATGTCCGTTGAAAAGGGATGCACAGCTGTTGCGTCCTTGTTGGTCAAATTCGTCAGCAGTATTCGCTATTCTCGTGCCCCGCCGCAGGACTCTAACTGCGGTTTGCGAACCGAAACCCTCACCCCCATTCCATCCGGTCCAACAAATTAACTTCAGAGAAATGTTAGTTTAATTTCAAATGTTTTGCTTGGAATAACTTATTCGATTTTGTGCACAAATAAATACCCTTCAGCCATTCCCTGAAATTGTTTCGTATCGATCGCGCATCCCGGTGAGGGGCGGAATTAGGGGTTTCTTCTTCTCGACACCCAGGTTTGCGGTTTGAATCCCTGTCGATATGTCAACACAAAGAAGAACCGGTTGTTTAGTACTTTTTTCGGTCCTCACATGGAATTTTCATTGCAAGCCGTGATATTGCTTTTTGTTATGAGTGCCAAGCAAACTACGCCTGACTTGTTATCCGGGTGTTCAAATATCATTCATTATCCTATTGCATCTCCCTTTTTCAATGTCCATCAATTGTTCTGATAAAAGCTAATTCCATCAAATAATGTCTACTTCCATTCTTGGTTTATTTACCACCCCCTCTCACGTCCTCCCCATCGAATCTACCGACTCACCTACCCTTCTTCAATTCAATGCAGTCACAAACAACGTACGTGTTGACAGGCCTTGGGCCAGATACGCTTTATCGAGTTCAGGTAAGCCAATATCGATTATTTGATTCAGTTTCACGGTGATTTTTTCACGTCTTTAATATCCGCTTTACTTCATCAACACACTTCGAAACAACCAAACAGTAACTCTTTCGTCCACCACTTGGGTTCGCGCGATCAATGAGGCTGCTACAATTAGAACGTTGGTTTTAACGCTCACTGACCGTCAAATTTGGGATGAATTAAAATAAATTCCACTTGAGCATAAATTGGATGGTGGTGTGTGTTGGAGGTCAAAATGTCTGAGCTGATGACACTGTCCCACGAGTTCGAACCTCCTTCAGCCCTTTAACTTTGGTTCAGCAGCCCTAATACTTGATAACATGATAATTCTACTTCTTCAAATAGTTGTTTGGTAGATTTCAAGTTTGTATGGCGATTGTGAAAAGTTCAGTAGCCTCGGTGGGATTTGAACCCACGCATGGCTTAGGCGGCGTCCGTACAAACATACATACAAACTTCAAATCTGCCAAACGACGTTGCCTTAGAAGCTCATTCGGTGGACTTCGGTGAATTATAAGGAAAACCTGTCGGGGCAGTCAGCTTACATGCTAATTGGTGGATGCCTCTGTAAGTTGGATAGGTAATTTGAATGTGAAAAGATCAGTGCTATCGGCATGGCCTCGTAGCTCAGCTGGTAGAGCTTGCACGTACAAAGCGTAGGTGGCGTCCATGTGTGGGTTCGAGCCCCACCGAGGCTAATGAACTTTCCCAATCGACAAAAAACTTCAAATCTGCCGAAATAACCATTTGCACAATCCAATAATTTTTAAAATGACAAAAGTGAACACTCAAAAAGTAGTCTTCATTATAAGCCCTGGCCTAAATCCACGCATTACCACGTTATGGATAGCTTGCAAATTGAGGAACATCAAAAGTCATACTTACAATACCCCTACGGTGGAGACCTCATGCCCCTGTCCCCGTTCGCACTCGAATGGGTACAGCGGGAAACAGATAAGGAAGAATGTGATTTACACTGGATAGGCAACAATTCCCGTTTCCCACTGACATAAATTTTTCTCACGGTGGGGTGAGCATGTGACCACGTTGACGACGATAGTGACTCAGATGACGATGATGATGATTGTGATGATAATAATAATAATAATAATAATGATAGTAATAATGATGGTAATTATTATGGTGATGATGATGATAATGGTAATCACTCAAAAGACGATAATGAGGGACGTAAGGGTGATGGTACAGCTGCTGAGATTATTGATAGCAATTTTACAGTCAAACATTGACCGCATGGCTACAGTGCACACACGATTTACCTCAGGGTAAATTTGCGTGTACGCTTGCGTGCAAGCTACGTATGTGCGTCTATCGCAGATTTTCCCATACATATTCCTACTACTGGGGAATAGTTCATTCGAACAGCAAGCATTTCATATCGAAAATGCAGTGTGTGTTGGGGGGGGGGG